TGTAGATACTAAAAGTAAGCTTGTTCCGGAACAATCGAAGGATTAGAATCGAATCAAAGCAAACCTAAGGTGAGTGCAATTTAATTTGTAATTATGTTATCGAATAAACATTGGCTTGCGATGAGCCAGTGATGGAGTTATTATGGTAGGAAGTGACTCCTCACATATTATTTGATTTGTGATTGATGTAATTTTTACGTGTGCATGATTACATGTATATGCGATATGTGGTATTGACATAAGTGACTATAGGATCACGAACTATGTAGAATAGCAAATACTTATGTGATAGCAAGAGAAAATGATATAAACTAGGTGGAGTAGATATAAATGATAAGTTAAACGACATTGACATATGTGATTATGAACATGTGATATAAGATATAAGCTAAAGAATTATAGCATATGAGATAAGACAGACATATGTGGTTATAAGAAACATGATATGAAAAATAGGAGAAAAAGAAATTGTAATATATGATACATGTGATATGATATGAAATATATGGTTACACATACATGTGGTATGTGATAGAAGAGAAAGAACAAGTGATATGAAATGTTATAGATGATAATGCCCATGTTATCTGATATGAGAGCTAGGGGTATAGTTGGCATGCCAAGAGTCGAGGGTTTACCTATGTTCTACGGAACATATGAACATTTTACCTAGGCTCTTTGGGACCTATGGACAGTTGCCGAGGTTCTTTATGACCTCTGGATAGTTACCGAGGTCTTTGTGACCCCTGGATAGGTCCTTCGGGACATTTATATGAGCTGTGGTGACAACATAGTGGTGCACAACCTCAATAGACTCACATATCTACAGTTCTCACAGGTGCACATGGGCTAATAAGAGATAACATTGAATGTAATGTATGTGATGTATATATGTATTTTGTGATATGAATTATATGATATGATATATGTGTGTTAGTGATTATTGTATATGCTATAAGATATATGATATGAACTTAATTGATCATATAAACAAGAGAATAGAAATATGAAAGGTGCATAGTAGGAATTATTATATGTATATGTGGGTGTGATGATTGTATGTGATATGTTAGTAGAAATTGTTCAAGCATGATTACGAGTTGGAATTTTATTATATGTTTTATGCCTCACTAAGTCATCCACTTAGCGTGTGATTGTTTCACACGTAGGTTCGAGAAGAATATAGAGAGCAATGTGGAGCAAGACATGTCAGTATCTCCTTTACAAAGTTCAGATCAGAAAATATATGTATTTGGCATGTAAATAAAGATTTGAATTCGATATACTCGAATTGGTTTTGTAAAATCATATGATACTAATTTATGTAAATTAGTCAATTGTATTTAGTAAAAGTTTTAAAATTATTCATTATTTTGTTCAAGTAAAGGTTTTGAAAAATCAATGTGACACCTCAGACTTGTATTCGGGTCGGGTACGGGTTGGGGGTGTTACAAAAACTCAAACCTAAAATTATATAATTCAAATCAAATTTAAGTTAAATACAATCCAAACCTTAAATAACCTAACATGAACTCGATGTACACATTACCGATGTCCAGAGCACACCATTGTAGTTGTTGTCAGGAACACACACAACTAGGGCTGTAAATGAGACAAGACAGACCGCGAGCTACTCGAGATCGACTCGATCAAGGCTCGTATGCTCCCAAGCCCCCTCATTTGGTTTGGTATAAAGGGCAGAGGTATGTGCATGCCCTTGATGCAAAAGAGGAGCCACCTAAAGTGGTGCCTGGTAAGTTTCTACTGCTATTCTGATTAAAGCTTGTTCTTTGTGCATTGGATTTGAATGAACTGAATTGGATATTTATGCTGCTTTTATGTTTATTCCTCTTATGTTTTTCCTTTACCATGTCGTTTACTGTTTCTATGTATGCTCTATTTTGATAATATCTTAGAAGAGAAGCACCATGTAATCAGATACACTGCATCTTCTAGGATGGTACTTTCAAATTTTGATGCTCTAAAGTGTTCGGAAAATAATTTGTTCTCAGCCCCATTATGCTTGTGTGCATCCATTAAATTTAATTATTGATCCAACTGTTTGTTCTTTTTCATAGTTTTTCTACCTTGGTTTTGAATTGATTTCTTTTCAAGCTGGCACTACTTTGGTTGCCTTAAAACTGGATAGTTTGAGAATATTAATCTAATCAAATGACAAGTGGAGTATTTTAAAGATTTAAGATACAGTTTTTAATCGATTTTAGAAATAAGTTTGGTTGACAATATGCTTTGATCCTCTTCTCAGTAACCAATAATCATCAGTCATCCAGTTACCAAACTGTAGGCCTCTCCTTATGAAAAGATACGATACGGGTCCTTTAAGCAGAATTCTGAGAAGTGACATTTAAAAGCTTTTTACAATGCAAAATATATGGCTTGTTTTTGTATGATTTGTTAGACTTTGCGCTATCCCACCATCACTTAAATCATGTGGAAATTTTGAACAAAATGTAAGTTAGGCCTTTGCTATATGGAAAGGATATAGCAAGATATGAATCCCTGTAATATGTTTCTGAGAAGTGACATATGGAACCTTTAGACAAATCAATTATGTGGGCAATTCATAATTGCCGGATGTCTTCCACGGAAGTTGCTCTCAACCTAGCGTTGGGGGCAGCCTACTACCCTACCTCTCCCTTACCCTATTACATATGGGAATAGGGTCAGCTAACTGTAATTATATGGCTTGTATTACAGGATTCAGTTGACCGTTGCAGTATCCCACCCAAACACAAATCCTGTGGAAGATTGAACAAAAATGTCTGATCAGAATAAAATCAACTCTGTTGCATGATTTTGGTTTGGATTCTGGCTTCTGTATGGTCATTGCATGGGGTACTAGGTTCTCTCCTTTTTGCCCTTTTCTACAGTAAGGCATGTCATAATGGGTAAAGTTAGAACACTAATTTTAAAGTCTAACCAGAATCTAACTGAACCTATCTGATTGGTTGTGATATGTTTTGCCTGTTAAAACTGATCATGGTAATATTCGGAGCATTTTATCAAAAAATGAATTGTTTGTTTAAACCTGGCACCGAAGTAGAAATCTAGTATGCTGTGACTATATTATGCAGTTTTTAACTTGCATTACCTTTTTAGACAGGCCATTGGGAAGATTTTAAACTAGCCGCACATCCTAGCTTTTATGCTTGAAATGCAATACATGTATTTTTTTTAACCAATTTTCTTCTGAAAGGACTATGTTCTGTGTTTGATGAGGATTTGGGTTAGATTATTTACAATTAGCAGGAAATACTGCTTTTCATGTGCTATGCTTGAAGTTTGATAATTACTGTTGATAAATGTCGACTTTCCTGCAGGAAGTGAAATTTCTTTTTTCAAAAATGGGTTATGCCAAGGAGTTGCTTTCAAGGATTTGTTTGGTGGTCGTTACTATCCTGCTGCTTCAATGTACACCCTTCCAAATCAACCGAACTGTGTGGTGAAGTTCAACTTTGGCCCTGACTTTGAATGCTACCCAGAGGAATTTGGTGGACGACCACTTCCCAGGCCCATGGTTGAAGTTCCTTATCATGGGTTTGACAACCAAGTGGAAAATGGTGTAGCCAATTAGAAGAAACAGTAGTGAGCTTGAATCGGACTCTAACATCATTAGAAAATGCCTGCTAATTTGAGGGGCTGTTTTATATTGTAGTTTTAATACTTCCGAAATTAGGTCTGCTGAGTTAATTGATTAGTTCTGTAAACTCTGACTTTTCTTTAAAGATGAGAGAAAGATGGGCTTCCTGCTTGCAAAGTTGCAATACCTAAAACCACTTCATGAGCTGACCAATGTCAGATTGTCATTTTATTTTACTTTTGTTTCGTTTGTATATCTTGATATGATTCTTCAATGAAGTTCTTGTCTGCCATGCTTATGACCTCCTTTTTGTTATTTTGAATGCTTCTTCTGTGATTTAGTTCCTTACGCAGATCACTTGGATGTATTGCGGTATTCTTAATTTTGCAATTTCTACTTTTTTCAGACAGGATTCCAGCAACTCTATGAGATTACAGCTTGTATGTATGTGTCACTGAAACTTTTCTTTTGGCTTGCATTTTTTTTAATTATAGTTTCTCAATCAGACCTGATTTTATCACTTCACCTTTTCCTGTTAGTAGAATGGAAGTGCTCTGGTTCTGATTCTTTAATATGAGTAAAGCAGATAGTTTGCGCGGAAGGATATTAAATGGTAGCAATTATTTAGCTAGTGAAGCGGATTGTTCTTCCTTCTAAAACGTTGAATTCTAACCTTTGGCTTTTGCTTGTAAACCTTTTGCAGTTCCTGAGAGGATAGAAGGAAGGACTGAACTTAATGGGATTGCCCCCTTACAGGTAAATTCTAATTCTGAATTAAGTAGGAAAATGAAATAAATTCCATTGGCATCAAGGAACGTGATTTAGGGTTGCAAAATGAGTAGAAGGAAGTTGGAATTCTAGAAAATGTAGTAGGGTTATATAAAACCTCCAGTTTCTTTATATTAATTCAAAGAAAATAATAAGAATAAGGCTTAAGGGTCACTTTTGCCCCTGTAGTAGACTTAATTTATCATCCCTATCGTATTTTCGCATCAATTTAGTCTTCAAAGTTGTTTAATTGCATCATTCTATACCCTACTCCTAACTTAAAACCCTAAATCGACAACTCTAAACCATAAACTCTAACCCTAAACTTTAATCTCTAACTTAAAACCCTCAATTTAGGATTTAAGTGAGGATATGGTATAAAATGATGCAATTGAGCAACTTCAAGGGAGCAACTTCAAGGGTTAAATTGATGCACATGAAGGTAACATACAAATTATGCAAAATGAAATTAATGAAATTAACAAGGGTTTATATGTAAATAAACTAATAAATCACACTTGGTCAAATCAATCAATATGTCCATTATCAAAACAAACGGTGATCAAAACATAAAATAAAAATAAATTAACAACCCAGATAATAAAATCATAAACCTTAATTAATAATGAAATTAGAATATTGCAAATATAAAAGGTCCTAAAATGCTAATACTCCATTTCAAAAACACGGGCTTGAATACTTGTCCACTGTCCACGTTTCTTTGGTTTTCTTTTTCTCTCTTCAATTCTCTGCTTTGTGTATCCTCAAGCTTTCTGCAACAAACATGGGGGCTTTGATGGACACGTTTTCCGCTACTCATAAAGGGAGGAACGATAAGAGCATGCTTATCAGAGGAAATCTCAACATCCTTCACTAATAATCAATCAGATGTAAGCCACGAGTGTAATGGCAAACTCAAATGAACATTTTTTATGGTAAAACCAATTCACCTCGCCAAATGTCAGGAGAGGGACCTTTGAATCAACAGATGCAGCATCGAACTCTGCCGGGGTGCTCAAACCTGAAGCGTGAGATCGGGAACCATGATTGATATTGTATCGAGTAGAGAGCATGGCTGCAGCAATATGGTGAGGATCTCTCCTATCATGGCCTGCGATATCAAACTCATTCTCCAAATCATCATCGCCACCCTCTTCCTCATCCCCACCCTCTTCCTCATCCCCATCTACACGAGCGCAACCTGAGGGTTTAAACAGAACATACACACCATAAGAAAATGGAGCTATAAAGAAAAGGGTTTAAAAAGCAACAAACTTTTGAGGGTGCTTACTCTTGCAACCTCATCAGCATTTATGAGAATGAACTCATTCCTGTTGTGAGAACCAGCAATGAGTCTTCCTTTGGTGTCCATCTAGCTCCCAAACCCCGACAATAAAAACAAACCCAGGTTAAATAAAAGCTTTAAAAGCAACAAAAACACACTACAATGGAGCTATTCTCTCTTTCTGTCCATCACTCAACTCATAAAGACCCAAGCTTTACCCCCTCTTCGACTCTCTGTTCCTCTCAGGCACCAATTACAGGGAAGAAGAAACCCACATTGTAGATAGAAGCAAGTGACGGTGACCGGGAACGTGGATCCGAACAGGGTGTTGAAGAGGGTGAAGAGCACGGGGAAGAGGGCGGAGTTCTGGCCGTATATCCCACTCAGAGCATGTGGCCTTATATCCACGTATTTATATCCCACATATGGAAGCAAGTGATCCGCAAGTGATCTTATAAATTAAAGCTTAAACTCAACGGTTTAATTTACGGAGCCGTGCGGTAAGCACTTGAGCTTGAATCGAGCTTGAGTCTCGAGCTTCAGTTGAGCATTTGATTTTTTTTGAGTTCGAGTTGAGTTTTAATATTATCTTTCGAGTTCGAGTCGAGCTTAAAAATTATAACTCGCGAGTTTTCGAGTTAAGTTGAACTTACATTTAAAGTTTTTGAGTTTGAGTCGAGCTCGGCAATAATCGAGCTAGACTCGGCTCGTTTACACTCCTACACCAACTTATTTAAGTAATTGTTTTTAAACTTTCACAACAATTTCATGTCCTGAAAAAGCTTGTAGGTGTTCATAAATTGAATTAAAATAATACCATTTATGGAAGGCGTGTGGGGTCAAAAGAAGAGAGCTTTCCCATACCACTGATACAACAATATTCTTGATATAGGAATTTCCATCTCTATGATAAAAAAAAAGGAATATGTAGAAAAAAAATAAAAAATAAAATAACATGAATATATATATATATATATATGTAAATGCAAGAAAAAAATAAAAAAAATAAAAAAAATAAACAAATAAAATGAATATGTATATAAATAAAATATTTTAAAAAATAATAATAAATTAAAAAATTAAAAAAATAAAACAAAATAAAATAAAACATATAAAAAATAATAATAATGAAGTATATATAATAATAATAGTAATAAATAAAATAAAAATTAAAAAATGAAAGAAGATAAAAAAGAAGTAGAGAAAATAAAAAAATAAGTAAATATGTATAATAATAACGTGTAAACCAATATATATATATATATAAAAATAAATTAAATTAAAAAAATAATAAAAATGATTAAATTGAAAAGAGAGTCAAATTCAAGGGTCAATTTGTGAAAAAAAATTCGGGCTTAGAATCGAATTTAGGGTCCAAATAAGCTTTTTTAAAGGAATGAGGACCAAAAGAGAAGTTTACCCTATTTATTTTGGAAACATGCGACGGGTTGAAACCGGGTAATAATAACGTGTAAACCAATATATATATATATATATATAATAAAAATTAAATTAAATTAAATTAAATTAAAATAATAATAATAAAAATGAATAAATTGTAAAGAGAGTCAAATTCAAGGGTCAATTTGTGAAAAAAAATCAGGCTTAGAATCGAATTTAGGGTCCAAATAAGTTTTTTTAAAGGAATGAGGACCAAAAGAGAAGTTTACCCTATTTATTTCGAAAACACGCGAGTCCTAGTAGGCAGGTCGGGTAAGCCGCGGGTTGAAACCGGGTATAGGCTAACTATAAAAGCCAACCAATTTTTTTTAAAGCTTCATTTCTCATTTTCCTCTTCAAAAAACCGAAACCCCCTTCCCATTTTCATTTCTCTCTCGCCTGTTCTTCATATATGAAGAACACGGCGAAATTCAAGAATCTGACCACCATACACCGCTTCGTCGCCGCCGTTGACTGGCGCCAGCCACCGGTCATCGACGGCAAAACTATATTTTTTTTGCTTTTTCGAAAACTTTCTCGTAAGCTCTCTTCAAATATCAAAACAACTTTTCAAAACAAAACGCCTCAAGGGGAGTAGATCTAGAAAAAAAGATCCGAACATCCCCTTTTCAATCATCGGCGATGTCGTATTTTTCAAACTGAAAGCGATAAAAAGGAGACATGCAAGAAACAACGGGGACTGAAAAAAGGTAGGATTTTTACCTTCTGTTTTTTGAAATATTCTTTCGAATGCTTCGGTTTCACGTATTTTATATGTATCGTATATGTAAATCGCGTAAAAGCTAGCTTGTATTTCGTGTATTAATCGTGTGTTACAAATGGTGTGGAATACATAGTTTTATAGCCTCAAATTTGGCTTTTTTTAGAGTCTGATTTAGACTCAACTACTCTTATTTTTAGCGTTTTATTCATATTAGAATACTGCTCGCTAGCAGATCTGTTGTTTGTTGCCGAGAAACCCGGTTGTTGGAGGTGTGAGGCGTGCGGCTATGAGAGTCTTCGAGGTGAGGGCTGTTGACTCCATGCGATTCTGAGAGGAACGCTAGGGTTCTGGAAACCCTAGCCTATTGGTCCGGGTTGGGCACAAGCGGACTTGGAGGCCGGTTCGGGTGCTCCAGTGGGTCATAGTCATTGCTGGACCATTGTTGGGCCACTGTAGCGGGCTGTTTGATTTTGGGACCTATAAAACAGTAAAATAAATAATATTATATATATATATATGTAACGCATAAATAGATGAAATGGGGTGTCTACAACATATTCATTACGGAGAAATCTCAACCCTACAATTCTAGGTAGTGTAATGTGGAATATTTCCTAACTAATGCTTACAATAATTAAACAAGTAATAACATTGATGTTAGATGTAGTTTTTCTATTGGTGATGTACATTTCTTTTAAAAAAAATTGACTATAATATATCCATTAATTAAAAAAATATCATCAACAACGTCTTGTGATATATATGTTAGACAAATTAATTTATGACTATTATAAGTAAAATATAATGGTGAACGATAAGTGATAGCCAGATGAGCAATAGAATAAATAGTTGAAACAATGACATATAGAGACGGATTACTTTGACATCCCCGAACATCAAACACAAAGGAAAAAAACCTGAAGAATACTCAAAACGGACGAATGAAAAACCAATCTCTCCTTATCTGCAGTCTCATCTGGCACAAATATCTGACAACCAATGGAATGTCATATACAAAAGAACGAAGAAATCAAGTATCGGGAAAACAAGCAACCAAAAATCACTTAGAATCAAATATAAAAAATAAGACTAATGAAAAAAACCTGCATTGAGAGTTCAAAAACACCGATAGTTATGATATCCTTTACCAGATAAATAATCAATAAAAATTATTATTATAAATATATTTAAATACATTTGAAAACTAATAAAATCAGACAATAATCAACTGAAAATAGAAAAAGAAAGAATAAAAATGACATCTTAAATGTCATTTGTTGGAGAATATATGCTTGCTTTCGCAGATGACGTGTCGATTTTGATAATTAGATTGAATTATCTTTCTTAAATCAACTCGATTTAAAAATAACTTCTATGATGTTTTGGTTCAAATCATCTAGCCATAGCAATGAGTGCAGCAAATCATGTAAATGTATTTCATGCAATCAGGACAAATATAAGATTTCATGTGGATAATTTTTAAAATTTTAAAAGAATAAAAATAGATTATCAATAAAAAATATCTAAAATATATAATAATTTAAATTTTTCAGAGGGCGATGTACGAATGTAAACCATTTTCTTATTGGTTTGGAAAATTTTATTTCTTATATTTCACTTTCTAACAAAAGGACATCTCTCCTTTTTGTCTCTCCATTTTCTTTCCAAGTTCCAACCTGTAGTGTGTATTTTCAGGGCAATATAATTTCATTTTTCAAATTTTATATATATACATTAGAATAGAAGTGTTGAAATGAATCCAAAATTGAATTTGTGTTAAAAAAATCATTTATCCTAAATTTATTTTTAAATATTAAAGGTGTGAACTTACAAATTTTATAATATAAATCAAATTTAATAAATATCAATTTTTTTATATTTTAATAAATACTATTATTTTTATCAAGAGAAAACAATAATTAAAACTTAATCGATCTAAGGATGTCAATTTTGAGATGATAAGAACCTATTGAATGGTTTAAATAATAAAATATAATATTATTTTTATAAAAGATTCAAATTTTAATAGTTATATTTGTAAGATATGTATAATATGTACGTTATTAAAAAAATATTACTTTTTAATTACCCGTTATTAAAAAATTGAGGTGATAAGTGTGGATCGATGGTGATGTGGAAGTATTAGGCAGGAATTAATTATTTTCACCAAACTCCAATTAATACAATCATGTGATGCTCTATGCAGGGAGGAATTAAGAGTAAAAGACTGATAGCTGTTTCCCTAATTTATTTCAATTTTCTCTCTATGTGTTTGCTATGTCCTTATTGTATTTAAATTATATGCTCATGTGTCCTGACAAGTTTGAATAGAGAGTAACTAACCAAAATGAAAAAAAATAAAAATAACCCCTATCAAAATATGTTTGCTTAATTATGAATTCAAGGGGCTGATTTAGAGGCACAAATACACAGATATTATTTGAAATTATAGTGTATATTTTATATAATTTCTTAGATTTTTTATTTTTAAATTAAAATATATTAAATATTTAAATATATCTTATTTTATGCCATCCTATATACAAACATTTTCATTTTAATATTTACAATAAACAATCTTAGATTAAGATAAAACAAAATTACAATAAGAGAAACGTAGAGTACCTTTGATTTTAGAAAATATGAGTTATTTTTTTTAAAAAAAATAGATAACATTGAGAAAAAAAGTATGTTTGGTCGTAAAATTATAAAACTACTTACAGAAAATAAAAACAAAAATAAGTAAAAATTTGAAAACACAAGGAATATGTTTTTCACTATTTTCACTAAAATTATTTGAAAAAATTAGAAAACACACACACAAGAATTAGGAATTTTCAATTAATTTATACGAGTTTACATCCTTCTAACAATAATTTTTTATTTAATGATATCTAAGGCTCTCCAACTTTTACAAATAAAT